TGGAACCGGAGGGGAGCAGAGATGAGGGCAGCCCAGAGGAGCAGCTGCCCCAGCACAGGGAGCAGGGAGGGCCGGAGCGCTCCAGCCAGCAGGGGCGCGATCCTGACAGCAGCCAGGGCACCAGCACGGGGCAGAGCAGAGCCCTGAGAAAGGGATGGAACAAGGACTTCCCTCCACGGCAAGCTGTACTCTTTTTAACCGAGTACCAAGAGCCCAGAGGCTCTTGTGCCCACTCTGCTGCCTCCTCTCAATTCTTTTTTTTGCCCAGAGATAACACGTGTCAAAAACTTCTAAGTAAACCTTGGTGCTGCCCATGTCTTGTACTGCTCTTTAGTTGGAGGAGACAATCTGGCCGTATTATAATGTCTCCAAGGAGTACCTGCCCTTTTGAGCTAGTCCTAAAAATAACACCTTTCCAAGTTAAACATATCTATTTAATTACATTACTGCTCCTGCTCTGGAAGTCCTTCCTAAGACTGAATAGAAAAAAAAAAAAAAAAAAAAAAAAAAAAAAGAAAAAAAAAAAAAAAAAGAGAGCATTCAGGCATTCAGATTTCTGGAGGTGGCAGCTGGTAACAGAAGAAAAACAAATATGTGCAAGAAAAATCTTTCAGCTTGGCTTTTTTTAAATACACTTGTGCAATTAACACCTGAACTTTGATCCATATCTCACTTTCCTGTTAAAAAGTTGCTTTCAAAGCTGTCTACTTTTATCATTCTAGATAAAAATGCAATTATTTACTATATGTGAGTTGTAAAATGCAGGCAGCTATTATATACAGAGAAAAATTATGCACTGCTTGCTGAGACACACCACATGCCTCATGTTTACATCCTGTATGTTTGCTAACTTTAATTATTACAGACAGAAGCTCTTTAGTTCACTTAAAGAAGAGCTTTCTTTACATTTGTACCATCAGCTAAATGGACTGGTAGTCCAAATGGCTGCTTTTATGGAAGAAATTCCTTGATAAACTTGAACAAAAGCATTGAAGGAAAAATTATAAAATAATTCAACAGTAAAAGTATCACTAACTTCAATAAAACTTGTATTTTGCTATTTTTATTCACGAATTTTCATTTTCTATTAATGGAAAAACCTGGTAGGCACACTTAAATATGAGACACATAACACTTTCCACTACAAAGACTTTCACAACTTTTTTGAAAAGCTCTGACACTTGCCTCGTCTGCAGGCAGCCTTTGAAGTTCTCTGGAAGAGCAGAGATGCTCTTTGTCTCATGGCAATCCATTCAAGTTAAACTGAACTGTTTTCCTCTGCCTGCCTGCTTTTTTTAATCAAGTACTCGGTGGCATGTCAAAAGCCAATGCAAATCGATACAAACTCCCCGTACACAAGGGCTGGGCACCTGGCACCTCAGACAGAACAGAGACAAGTGTGCTGTGAGTACTGAAAGGCTGCTGAGGTTAAACAGCACAGGACACAGAGCAGAAAGGAAGATGAAACAGGTCAGACTTCACCTGTTGTTCCCCTACACAAAGCACAGAACCAAAGGTCCTTCCCCTATTCATCCAGTAACCTTGCCAAGTAAGGCAATTACCTGAATTAGAAATCACCACTGAAGGCTCAAATCCCATTTAGGGATTTTTTTAAAGTCAACAAGAGAAGTTTATACCTCCATGTAGTGTAATTCTACAAAAAAAAAAAAAAACCCAAAGGGCTAAGCTTCCCAATACCAAGAGGTTGCATGTTAGAAGCTAATCTGCAAAAAGGTTATTTGGGCTGAAAGTAAAGGTTTTGAAAATTCAGAAGCACCACATTTAAAACAGCCTATGACTTTAGCTCCATTTGCATTAATCCTCCTCTCAACTATTAAGATCACACATTATTACTACTCTTCCTGCAAATCGTTGCCTCATTCAGTGAGCAGAGTGACTTGTAACACAGACCTGTATCTGCACCCTCAGTCGGGTATTTGCCGACTTACAGGTCTAACTCTGCAACCCGTGGATTTGAACATACATTTTCAAAGGCAGTTTCATTTGTGTGTAATGCTATAGGCACACACGGTGCTTTACAGATGCAAGAAAAGATACAAAAATTGCCCCAAAGAAATTTTAGTTGAAACACATCAAAGCAACACTGAACTCTAGACAAAATAGATAAAATGCAAATGGGACAGAAGAATAAAGCAAGAAATAAGCCGATGTTGCGTTTTATAATGCTTAGTTGATGAGCATTATTAATAAGTATCATTAGAAGATCTCCACTGCTACTCGAATTTACAAGAAGGCCCAACTTCACTCTAATCATGCAAACCCAGTGATTTCAACGATTATATGGAGGAAACAGGCTTCACTGGGACCTTATAACTAAATTAAGAATTAAACCCTAATACATCAACTTGTCACACTAAATCTTAAGCCCAGCAAATGGGTGGGCTGAAATACGACAAAGACTGACATAACCCTGCTGCTGCCCACAACACACCTGCTAAGAATTTGGAGGAAAAAAGGTTTCAATTCAGCTTGGACAGAAACTTCTAGAGCCAAAGAATGAACAACAGCAAAAGTTCTACCCCAGAGCAATAAGAAGCCATCTTCTTATTACTTTTTTACTCTTCTTCTCTTGAAAATGGCATTTCACCAAGTATGCTCATGTCCACTTACACTACAAAAATACTCCCAAAAGCTCAGAAATTTTTTCCAAGTCAAAAAATCCAAAACTCCCTGTTTTCCAACACCACTGATTCCAGACTTACCCCTCATATTACTGTGCCTAGCAAGAGTATGGCAAATACCTTGCAGCAGCACACAGTATCACTCTAGAACCAGGGAGGAGAAGAAAAGCAGAAATCAAACCTCAGTCCTCCTCTCATACACCAACTAGCAACGTAGATTCTCCAAACGGCACTTATTGGACACTTCTGATGTTAACACATGCGGCAAAAAGGACTCCAGTCTCCTATGTCAATATTGATTCTGCAGTGCTCATAGGGATAAGGTATTTTTTCTGTTAGTTATCCCATTGCCCAGGAAGCAGTTTAGCTGAGCACTACTATAACATTTGTTGCTCTAATAAAAGATGCAGTTTTGTCCTGCATAACACAATTCAATTAATTCTTGTGCTATTGCCAGGTAATACAACTAATTTAAACAAATACTGATGATACGGGTAAATTTTAGTCATGTCAGGATCTCGCAGGGCAGTGCAGTTTCTCCTCCTAATCTGGACCTAATCACGTGTAGTAACACTGAAACCATGCGCTTCATCATGCTGGAGATGTTGCTAGTTCTGTCCCTCCGTGCTAAAAGTGATCTGTGATGCAATATTACTGCAGCGTCAGACTCCGCAGTGTAGAGACCATCAGAGACAACAGCAAGCTGCCAGGTAGCCAGGTTTGGGGCAGCCACCACTGAACCCAAGTCGCTGTAACAGCACACCAGTACTGGGGGCCAGGAGAGGCAAAGTGCAGTGAGCTGCAAGCACAGGGCACCTTCAGAACTGTAATCACGCTTATACCAACTAACCTCTGGGAACAGGCACAGTGAGAGAGGGGAGACAGCTACACTGTGTGTTGTGTTCTGCATTTATGCTGTCAGTCACGATCTGAAAATACTTTAGCTGAGTAGCAGCCTTGCACTGGTACTCACACTGCAAGCATACGTAGCTCACATCTTAATTTTCTTACTGGCCTTTTCACAAATCAGCACGAGTTCAGATCTTTATCTCACCTACTACTCCAGTTCTTGTGCCTGACATAATTGATGCGTACTCTTGCTTCGTGTCCTTGTTGTCCACTGCTGTCTTTAGCATAATTACTACCCACTAACAACATCTAACTTTGTGTGCAACTTCCACCTCTTTTCACCCTTCAGGTGAAAACAGCATCTGTCCTAAACAATTCTGCGATACGTTGAATCAGGATAAAGCTGTAGAAACTCCACTTAGTTCAGAAACACAGAGGAATGAGTAAGATGAGTACGCACATGCATTGCTTCAGGAATGGGCTCCTCGCTCACACCACCCCTGCATTGACTGTAGGCACACTCTGCCCAGCATTTAGGAACCATGGCACGTTTGAAGCAGCACACACTTGCTTCTTATTCTGCATCCTCTGGAAATAAGAAGTATTCCTCCCCTTCTCTGCACAGAGTATTCTGCCTCACAAGACAGGCATTGTTCACAACATCAAGACACACATTTTCCCATACAAGATACTTGGTGCACAATGCTAATTGCACTATCTCATCACAAAGCACCTATGTGCTACTATTGTACAGTCTAATTTATAACCCCCACCTAACGTGACAGTGGTAGCAATAACCCTTTTACAAGTGTCCTGCAGGAACCTACAGCATCTTCACAGGAGCTATCAAGAAATGATTATCAGTATTGTTTCATCTAATCCACACTTGGTTAGTAATGTTATTAGAGCACATTAAAAGTACACAGGTTACTTACCCCTCTTTGGGCAAATTCCAGTAATAAGTGTTGCAAAAATAGCAGGATTCCTAAGAGTCACAGAGCAAAGCAGCAGTTTCTGACTGTGTGCCTGTGACAGGTGCCCTGCATTCAGACAAATAAGCCTTCTCTGCTGATTGCATTCACAGCTGTAAATACCCCTACAACATTACTCCTTTTACACATACAATCTTCTGCAGCTGTTACAACTGGTGTCAGGTGCATGTTCTAACAGAGCTTGCAGATCGGTTTGCTCTTAAACCTGCGTGTAAGAACCAAAAATTCTGGACACACTTAGCAGAACCTTTTCCTAACTTTAGTATACTAACCAGCTCAGAAAGCATGCATGTTCATGTACTACTATTTTAAAGAAAAGTTCTTATGACACGGCGTCCCGTTATAGCTCATCAATCCTCACAATTTAGATTTCATCTCTACAAACCTAACAAAAAAGGCCTATTAAGTTTATTACATTTTATGGAACGCAAACCGAAAATTCCCTAGTAAGGAGGACTCTAAAGGGATTTCGGCTCCAGAAAAGAAACTACTACTCCTTTTCCCGTTGGGGCAAGCAATGATGCTGCTGCAGGACAGGGAGTTTCCAAGAAGCGATGCAGCACCTTACAGATACAGAGTACTCTTGCGTGAAGACACTGCTGAGGCACCGCCGTTGGGTGGGTTTGCACACACAGACAATAAAAGCAACTTTCACGCTCAGGCTTTACCGGGGCTGTTGGTATTCAGGATCCGCACATCAGAAGTTGTCCGGCCGGGCCCGTCCGGAGGCGCGCGGGCCGCGCCGCCGAGCGCTGCCGGGGCACCGCGAAGCGTGAGGCGCCCCTCGGCGCGGGGAGCCCCCTCAGCCCCCTCCCCTGCGGGGTCACGCCGCTCCGGCTGCGGCAGCGCGGCCGCGGCCCCGCAACACCGGCGGGCGCGAGCCTCACACCGCCCCCGGCCGGGCCGCGGCTCGGCTGACCCCGCGGGAGGGGGCTCGGGCCCCGCCGCAGGCCGGCCCGCGGCACGGCACCCTCAGACCCCGGCCCCACCGCCGGCAAGTTGGCGGGAGGCGGCGCCCGCCGCCAAACTTTGTCCGGCACCGAGGGGCTCTCCCCCAGCAGCGCGGCCCCCGCCACCGCGGCGCCGGGAGCCCGCCGGGCCGCCCTGCCCGACCCCGGGGGCGGCGGAGGGACCGGAGTCCCCGAGCCGCGAACGGCCGCGATGGGGCACGGCACAGACCCGCTGCCCGCGCCGGAGCACGGTGTAAGTCCCGCGGCTCGGGCACGGCACGGTCCCGCTGCCCGCGCCGGGGCTCGGCACAGACCGGGGCTCCCCTCACGTCCCTCTGTCCCCGGGGCTCCCCGCACGTACCTGCTGCTGCCCGCGGCACCCGCGCCGCCAGCGCCCCGCGCGGGACCAGCGGCACCTGGGGACCGCCCGCGCGCGATCCCGCGCGCGCCTCCCGCCGTCCCTGCCGGGTCGCCTTGGAAACGCGGGGCCGGCGCGCGGGGCGCTCCGCGGGAGCGGAGGGGGCGCGCGCGCGTCCGCCGCGCGTCACGCGGGCGCGGCCGGGCCAATGGCGGCGGCGGGCGGCGCGCGCTGTAGTACTACGGGCCGGGAGCCGAGCGGCGCCCCCGGCCCCGCCCCCGCCCCGCCGGGCAGCGCCGCGACCCCCGAGCCCGGCCGGCCCCCAGCCCCCGCCGCTGCGGCACGAAGGCACCGAGCGCTGCGCTCACCCCGCTCTGCTCCCTTCCCTGGAGGCCGGGATTACATAACGGCGCCCGAGCGAGCAGCTGCAGGATTACACCATGCGGATTAGGGATTACGTTGATTCAGCAGATTGTCCTGTGCATGTCTGAGAAAGATTACACCAGCAGAGTTAAGAATACCCGTTTGCTGCGGTAAGCCGTGGTTTAAGTGGAACAAATTAACTCAATACAAAATTAAATGCACAAAAAAAAAAAAAAAAAAGAAAAAAAGAGGAAGTAAAACACTCCAGGGTTAAGAACGTGTTTTAAATGGACAAAATAATAGAGAGACTGAAATTCAGGTTTTGACAGTTATCTCCCCAATGCTTTGGAGCAGCTGCTGTTAGCAGCAACCAGCTATTAGTGCTGGATGAATCTTAAAAAGTCTAATTCGTTATTAGGAAGACTAGTTACACTCGATTTCTGATGACTGCCACGCAAAGTAAGTATCTAAACTCTTACGACGTACATTTTTAGTAACGCAATATTATTTAAGTGGCAATGGTCTATTTTATTATGTCACCATGTGCTAAACTGTCTCCTTGTATGTTAGCCTGTAATATCGGTGTTTCGAGTTCTGATTACTGGATCTGAGATTATTGACATTTAAAAGCTAGCTTTATGAGGGACACTACATCTGCCACTGAGGTATGAATAAAAATTAACCATGCAGAGAAAAACTTCATGTTGCATTCATTTCAGTTGATTTCTTACAAGAGGTAGGGATGAAACTTGGAAGCAAAAGTGCCACAGAAGAAATCAGTAAGCACAGAATAATAGAATAGTGGTGGGGTTTGTTTTCCAAGAGTGATAGTGACTTTTTTAATGCAAAGGTATTGTAAGGTTTAATAGTTCCCCTCACATAAGCACACAGAGGCTTGAGACTGGAATCTCTATCTCAAAATCCCAAATTTGTAGTATGACTGCAGTAGTTACATTGGACAGAAGCCTCAACTTTGTAGCTTTGCCAACGTCTGTATGAATATCTCATACAATAGAACTGGGGCTTCAGATGGAAATTTGCAGTTGGTTGCAAGCTGCTTAGGAAATTTTGACAATGGAAAGTTTTTCCTGAAATTCACTGTAGTGTCTCAAATTTCAATTTCAACATCATGAGAAGAGTTTTGCCCCATTTTAGTATATAATTAATCCTAGACATACTTTAGTGGATAAAAATGAAAATGTAAACCTTAATTTTTGCTGTCGGGATTTCTAAGATAAGAGGACTCAGTCATTTGTTGTCATTTCAGAAAGCTGCAATGGAAAGAATTTTAAAAAACTGTTTTCAAAAAAATTACCCTGTCAAGCAAAGCATGTTGAGATTTGTGAGCTATTTGTCATCTGCTTTAGCTTCCTGTCTTGTGTCAGAATTTCCTGATATTGTGGCTATCCCATCTTAAAATAGGCTTCCAGCGTGTAAATTTGAGTAAAACATTGTTCTTATACAGATTTGTTATAAGATCTCACCTGGAATTCTTCCTTATAGAGATCCTCATTTGTTCCAGGCAGATCAATGGATTTTTTCTGATGCCTGATGATTTTCTGAGCTCAGATCAGTTAGGAGCTTCAGACACTGAAGGTATGAGAAGTTATACCTAGGTGAGAAAAAACAGACTCCTTTTAACAAGACTTCAGGACAGTTCCTGGCTCTTGGAGAAAGTACGAGGTGTAGACTGACTGCTTGACAGATATCAAGGACATCTCAGAAGGAAATTTATATTTAATCAGCATACTAAGGAATTTTTAAATTTTTTTTCCCTTCATTGTTTTCATGACACAAATATTTGAGCTCAATATTGGGGCAGAATGAGATTTTACCTTTTTTGATTTTTAGAAAGAATACATAATGCAGTAAAATCCCATTCTCAAAGATAGCTGTAAGGTGCAACTTAATCTAAATGTACAAACAATGTATATTTGAAATAGCCATGTGACTGAAACGATCATCTTTAATTTGGGGGAGAGTTTATACAGAGATTAATTTTAAGAATGTTTGAATAGCAAAGATCCATAAACCAAAACCCAAATCATTATTCAGTGCTTGCTTTTTGTCTGCCTGTGCTCATTAAGACTCACAGGTTCTGTAGATGTTTAGGCCAGCTAACCACTAAAAGTACACAAAACCAAGAGGCAATACAGATTCTGATTTAAATCGATGGGGAGTAAAGCACACAGGTTCATTTAAAGACAAATCTAAGGAGTTCAAGACTTGTTCCAATATATCTCAGTGAACACAGGTGACCTAGCTTTAAAGTATAAGCATTTCAAACAATGCATTATTATTAATATCAGTTTAGATGACAAAGATGAAGAAAAGGTGTAGAATGATAAGAATATTTTTCAACAAGCTGGCACAGAGCAAAACAGGCTATATTTTAAATTTCAGATTAAAATACTCTTAACTGCAGATACAAAGTAACCTTTCACAAACATGGAAGATAAACATTTGAGCATTCCTATGACTGGATTTTTAGTTTCTGTGAGCATAGGCTACATCTGCATCTAGAGGAAGACTCAGTTTGGAAAGTGCAAGAAAGGTGCACAGAGGATCTTTGTGTTTCTGGTATGAACTCAGTGCACACACAGACGTAAGCCAGTTAGAATTAAGTTTAGCAACAATTTCTGCTGTAGTACTTAATTTTCTTTAAATATATCATCTTATTCTCTAATGAGAGAGAGAGTCCAGTTAATTATTTTTAAAACACTGATACATCCTTGAACTTCTGTTCAGAGTGCAGCACCTTAGAGAAAAACATCTAAATACATGATTACCAAATGATGTATTTTTCAGTCTTAAAAACTAAAAAGCCTAAACTGTGAATGCCAGCAGCAACACCACTTTCAAAAACTATCTTTAGACCCATATTGTGATACTTATTATCAGAATTTAAAAAATAAAGCTATGCTTTCACATTGGTGAGGAAGTATTTTCACTCCCTCTCTTTGCCACTCTCTAGTTTCTTGAATACACAGGCAACGAAGTTTGAAAAGAAATAATTAGTAGTCCCACAGCCTTCCTCAAGCTGTCTTGCTCTCTGCATTCAGCTAATAAACAATTTGTCATACATGGAACAATTAGTCCTAGTCCCAAGAGCTGATGAGTTGCATAGCACATCCATTTAACACACTGATGCAGCAGAAATCTGTCAGCTTCCCCTAAGGGATTTTCTGCCACACCATTGGATTTAAGCATCTCCTGAAAAAGTTAAACTTAGACTAGGAGCAGCACCAGAGATACCGAGGTACATACTGACAGTAAGATGAAGGAAAGGAGGTGAGAGATCTCTTTTCAGCAGTAGCAAAACTCAAGCTATTTTGTCAATTCAAGGATTAATATCCTAATTAAATCTAGTACAAGAGCTAGTCTGAAATTTAGGTTATATATCCTGTTTATATTTTATGACAGCTATTGGATATTATACAACATTGTGGAGCTTTCTGTGAAAAGGGAAACTAAATGAACAAAGACTATTTGCTCCAATAAAAGACAAATTTAAATCAGATTTTTGATGCCAGTGTAAAATAAATGTATGATACACTTTATATGTACTGCATTATGTGAGTATTTTGAATTCAGCAATAAACTCTAGTACTGGAAACCCTAGAAAAATATGCAAGTGATCCTGTGAGCATGATGAGGTGTTACCCTATTCTGTACCTGGCCCCTGTACACGTTTGTCTTTGTTATAACCTCACTCACACTGCACTATATGAAAATTTGAAACTTTTTTAACAGTACATATAGAATCCAGATCTTGACTGCTAGAAAAATTAATGTCCAGGATGATTTATTTCTTTCAAAACCAGGATTTTAGTTCTGAAGTGACTCTGTTCATTTGTTTTTTTGTGCCACATGCTATGTTAATTGTTCTTGGTTCTGTACACAGAGAAAAGTGTAGCTGTGAGCCAGCTCAAGAGGACGCCTTTGGGTGGGGACCTTGCTGTTACAGCCCAGTATCACAGGGAACTGCCATTTCAGATTTTCTTGTATGGACAGGACATTTAAAAAGCTAAAGAAGCCACCTGAGGTCCCATGAAAACGAGAACCATCTACTTATAAAGTAAGTAAAAATGCATTACACCTTTTGAAATGGGCCTCTATAGAAAGTCAGCTTTCTGTTAGTTAAAGCTGCAGTATAGGCAATTATTTCTCATAAAGCTGGTAATTTATTTTATTTGATCATTTAATGGGGAAAAATTTATTTCTTCCAATACAGGACAGTTTGCTTAAATATTTACTTTGCATACACTGTGAAGAAAGAAAGAGCAAACATGAAAAAATGATCTATTATGTTAGACTTGTTCAGTAACCTATTTGGTACAGTAAACCTTGACTATACCCAACAAGAAAACAGAAGTTAGCTAGGGTACATGGTTATAGAGTTGGCATGCCTACAGAATAAGTTTCTTTTAGCAATGTCACGTGAACATTCATTTCTGTCCAGGCAGAGGGTTTCTGCTGTAGATTTTAAAAATTATTGTACAAGTTCTGATAAATTCACAGCTTGCATTACTAATTTCACCTGACATCCAGACATGAGGAACACTCAAGTGAAACACATATTTGCTCTGAGAAATGACAAACTGGAAATTTCCTGTTGGTGGAATGGAAGAATTCTACCACCAGGATCTTGCCTGACTACTTAGCAGTCTGAGGAATGGTTCAGTTGTGTGCTCTGTCTTTCAAGGTGCAAGTGTCAATCTAATTAGCTAGCTAGAATCAATCAGACTGCCTAAGTGCATCGGGTATTACAATTCTGAATAAGCATGGCAGTTTTAAAAAAGTATTCATTGTTTAAACATGCTTTAGTCTGAATTTAGTTTTACTCTGCCTTCAGGGATTCACTGAACTTGACAGCAGATTTGAATGTTTGCCATTAACTGTGAATTAACAGAACTTACATATAACAGTGCATTACTGTCAGAGTGCAACACATGGCTTAGGAGAAGCACTGAAAGTTGCATCCCAATAGCTATTTCTTCAGGGGAAAAAGACACCAGGTTAAAAAATTACATGCTTAATTTAC